GGCTGGGCTGGAATTGCCAGAGAAGCTGTGGCTGCCCCTGGATTCCTGGAAGTGTCCAAGGCCAGGTTGGATGGGGCTTGGAGCAACCTGGACTAGTGGAAGGTGTCCCTGCCCATGGAATGGGACGGGTTTTGAGATCCCTTCCAACCCAAAACATTCCAGGATTTTATGATTTTAACTCAGCCAGTGATGCAGCCAAACCTCTTCTGAGGTTTTGCTGGGCCAGGAACGTCCATCCCAGCATTGCTCCCACCCCTGGACCACAGAGCACATCTGGCTGTAAAGGGGATTTTACCCTGATGCTCCATTCTCTTGTTTATCCATCTGGCTGGATTATGTTAAAAAATTAAAGTGATTTCTGTCTGGTAGGGAAATGGCCTGTACTGGGAGCTTGGGCTGTGCTGGGAAGAACTGGATATTAATTTCTGAAGGAGAAAATTAAATAACAGGGCAGGATTAAGGTGTGATAGCCTGTCAAGGCTCTCTCCTGCAGGAGATATTTATTCCATGTGTGAATGCACAGATGGTTCCTGATTCCCTGGTTTGGGTTCTAATACTCTTCCCTGGGATGTCTAAAATCCCAAGCCAGGAAGGGAAAGAAATACAGCACTTGGGAACGAGATGTTTGGGATTAATCCATCCACAGCTTCTAAAAATAATGATTTTTCTGTACTAAAATATTTTGAAGGAAGTTTTGGTCCTGTTTGGTGAAATACAGAAACTCTGTTAGATTCCAGCTGCAAATGGAGCAGGAGCAGCCTATGGATTATTAATTAATTTTTAATTTATCCTGGAAGTTGCAGGGCTAAACACACCCAGCCCAGTGTATCCAGGGCTTCTCTTTAATGGGGCCACGTGGGTTTTTAGCTTCTCAGCAGGGTAAAATTTCTCTCAGCTTCAAGGCAGGAGCTGCATCGATCTCCACTGGAGGTTTGGCCCTTCTTCATCCACGGGGGATGGTGGAAACACAACAGGCTCTGTGCCAGCTTAAAAATCATTAATGGGATGAGTTTTTCTCGTAAGGGATGGAAAATGCTGAGTTTGGGTTAATGGTGAGCTGGGAAAGGGGGTGGGTTCATCTCCTTCACTGCTCCTCATTGATTTTTAATTTTTTTTTTGTGGCTTTAATTCACACAAAACACTTTTATTCACATAACTCTGGGCTTACTTGGAGAAGCAGCTGCAGCTTGTGAGAGTCTGTGAGGGATTTCCTGGAGTTTTGGGGTAATCTGGTGGGGTCTGGAGGCGGGGATGGAGTCCCACAGCCTCACCCCACCCCACTGTCACAAAATCGGCCAAAAATGACATTTCTTTTCTCTCCTTTCTCCTTCCTGGGCTCTGCAGGGCTGCAGCCCTGGCACAGCTTCACCCCAGGTGTGCAGTGAAGCCCTTGCCACCAAAAAAAGATGCAAAATACCCTAGTAAAACTTCGGTGTTTTAACTACACACTGAGATGGGAAAGCAACAGCCTGAGTGGCATCTTTTCTTCTTGCCCTGGAGCTGGCAAAAAGTCTGGGCTCAGGCTCATCCCAGCTCAAATCCCACTAAGTTCATCCAGAAACATCTTTGAACCCTCCAAATGCAAAAATAATCGGGAATAAGTGCTGTGTTCAGAGAGTTAATGGAATGTGTTTTGCAGAATTTGGTTTACTTTCCAGCCTCACCACAGAACAGGCTCCTCAAAGTAAAACTCCTTGATTTGTCTTGGGATCCAGATGTCTCTGTAACATTTGGCTCCTGCCTGGGTGGTGGGAGCCTTACAGAGGAAAGGTAATTTGGGGACTGAATGAGGTGATGGCAGCCCAGGGAAGGAAAGCTCCGGGGGCTCCTCCTTCCCTGCCAGAAGAAAAGATGCCACTCAGGCTGTTGCTTTCCCATCTCAGTGTGTAGTTAAAACACTGAAGTTTTATTAGGGTATTTTGCATTTTTTTTTTGGTGGCAAGGGCTTCACTGCACACCTGGGGTGAAGCTGTGCCAGGGCTGCAGCCCTGCAGAGCCCAGGAAGGAGAAAGGAGAGAAAAGAAATGTCATTTTTGGCCGATTTTTAGTGGAAGAGGGTCTTTATCTGCACCAACTGCAGGATTACACAGCTCGTGGGTGGGGTTTCTCCTTTGCTCGACAGCCTTAATTTTACCTGTAAAAAGAAAAAAATAAGATAGAAGGGTTTAAAAAGGGATAAAAGATGTCCAAGGCCAGGTTGGATGGGGCTTGGAGCAACCTGGTCTGGTGGGAGGTGTCCCTGCCCATGGCAGGGGGTGGCACTGG